TACCGTGACCGTGGCCAGTAACCCCTCGGGGACGTAGGCCACAACGATGGCCATGAAGAAGACCATGGCGCGGAGGAAGGGGTAGCCGATGACCATGGCCACCACGAAGAAGGTGGCACCGAAGAAGATGGCGAGGCCGGCGATGATGTCAACAAAATGCTCGATCTCGATGGCGATGGGCGTCTTCTCGTTCTCCACCCCGGAGGCCAAGCTGGCGATGCGCCCGATGATGGTCCGGTCACCCGTGTTGATGACCAAGCCCATGGCCGTCCCTGGAGGACCCAGATGTCTGGGTGGGACCCGGGTGTCCGGGTGGGACCTCAGTGTCCCGATGGGACACAGGTGTCCAGGTGGGACCTGGGTGTCCTGATGGGACCCAGGTGTCTGGGTGGGACCTGGGCATCTGGTTGGGTTAGGAGACCCAGACATCTGGATGGGACCCGGGTGTCTGGGTGGGACCTCTGTGTCCTGAAGGGATCCAGGTGTCCGGGTGGGACCCAGGTGTCCAGGTGGGACCTGGGTGTCCCGTTGGGACCTTGGTGTCCTGAAGGGACCCAGGTGTCTGGGTGGGACCCAGGTGTCCAGGTGGGACCTCGGTGTCCTGGGTGGGACCCAGGTGTCCAGGTGGGACCTCGGTGTCCTGATGGGACCCAGGTGTCTGGGTGGGACCCGGGTGTCCAGGTGGGACCTCAGTGTCCCGATGGGACCCAGATATCTGGGTGGGCCCCGGGCATCTGGATGGGCCGCACCTTCTAAGCACATGGTGGAGAAGAAGGCGATGTTGCGGGTCTCCAAGGGCGAGTCATGGGTGCACTCAGGTGACCTCGTCTGGGGCTCCGACTCTCCGGTCAACGACGAGTTGTCCACCTGGAGATGGCGGGAGGAGGTAGGAGGACACTTCCAGGCATGCCCCACCCTCATCACCCAAGGGTCCGGACCCACCTTGCAACCCTGAGCCGAGATGATGCGGATGTCGGCGGGGACGCGGTCGCCTCCTTTGATCTCCACCAGGTCGCCCACCACCAGCTCGTTGGCGTTGATCTGCAGCTTGTCCCCTTCCGGGATCACCGTGGCTTGCTGGAGGTGACAGCAGAACCCAGGGGTCCGGGTGGGGACCCGGGCATCCGGGTGGGGACCTGGAGGTCCGGGTGGGGTCCCGGGTGTCCCAGGTAGGGAAGGAACCCGGGCGTCTGGGTGGTCCCACCTGAGGGACGAGGTTCTTGAAGCTGGCGATGATGTTGGTGCTCTTGAACTCCTGGTAGTAACCGAAGCAACCGGTGACCACGACGACGGCAATGAGGGCGATGGCGAGGTACAGCTGGGGGTGGTGGAGACAGGATCAGGCCCCCTCGAGGTGGGGACCCTGAAGGTCCAAGCATCTTCAACCCACCCCAGACCCCCTCAAGTTCATGCCTCCTGAGGGTGCGTGGCTTCTAGGTGCCCCCCAAAGAGACCCAGATGTTCCCCCAGATGGACCCAGGTGTTCTCCACCCTAGATGGAACCAGATGTTCTCCCAGATGGACCCAGATGTTCCCCTCAATGGACCCAGGCGTTCTCCACCCTAGATGGACACCGATGTTCCCCCAGATGGACGCAGGTGTCCTCTCCAAGATGGACCCAGATGTACCCTCTTGATGGACCAAGGCGTTCTCCACCCTAGATGGACCCAGATGTTCCCCTTGATGGACCCAGACATTCTCCACCCTAGATGGACCCAGGTGTTCTCCACCCAAGATGGATCCAGATGTTCCCCCAGATGGACCCAGATGTTATGCACCCTAGATGGACCCATACATTCTCCACCCTAGATGGACCCAGGCATTCTCCACCCTAGATGGACCCAGATGTTCTCCCAGATGTTCCTCAACCCATCAACCCACGCGCACACCCCCTGGCTGGACCCAGAAGTTCTCCCTGAGCTGGACCCAGGTCTTCCTCCCCCCACCATGGATGGGCCCCCGCGTCC